TTGTGAGTTCTCTTGCGCCCTTGTTGTAGTGCTTGGTTTGTATGTTTTTGCTGTGTTTCATCTTAAGACTATCAACCAGGTACTCACTTCCTCTTGGTGCAAGATTGTTGTGTGTTGTAGGTATCAGTGTTCTTGTGCGTCGGTTGAGTAGCCTTTGGGCTGGGCTACTCCCTGCTCCTTGAGTCGGAGTGTTCCTTATCTCCAGAAGTGCAATGTAGTGGTCAGTGCTGGAAGCCATGCATTTGGTGAGCATGGTCTTSGCAGCTTTCACTGCAGCTTCCACCTTACCATTTGCATTTGAGTGGTGAGGTGACGACGTACAATGTTCAAAATCCCAGTTTGATGCGAAATCAAGAAATTCCTGTGAGGCGAACTGTGGACCATTGTYGCTGATAAGTGTACAGGGAATCYCATTTCTTGCGAAGTGGTGTTTCAGCTTGTTGATTACAGAARTTGAAGTAGTTGATTGGAGGTAGTCGATTTCCCAGAATCCACTGTAATAATCCACAGTGACTAAATATTCTTTGTTCTTTAAGGTGAAGATATCAGTTCCAACCTTTTCCCACGGGTATTCTCCCTCAATGGGCATCAGTGGTTCCTTCTGCTGTGATTTGGTATGTGTTTGGCAGGCCTCACATGCATCTGTTATCTGCCTGATATCGGATGCCATGCCAGGCCAGAAGAGGCATTCCCGTGCTCTTCTGAGCATGCTGTCGCCACCGAGGTGCGAGCTGTGCAACTGCTCTTTGATGGTGTTGCGAAGACTTTGAGGAACTATGACACGTTCCCCTTTGAATATCAATCCGTCATGGACAGCAAGTTCTTCTCTGTAGGAGAAGTAGGGTGCTGCTTGAGTTGGCAAGTTTTCTTTGGTTTCTGGCCATCCCTGTAGAATGACGTTCTTGAGGATAACCAGTGTGTTGTCAGCCTTAGTGGCAATTTGCATTTCTTTTTGCTTTTGCTCGCTGATCCTRAGATGACGAACTGCATTGATTCGAGCAAAACAGTCCTTGTGATGAGGATCAAGGGGRAGATATGCCCTTGATAGCATGTCAGCAAGATACATCTCTTTGCCTTTTTTGTAGACGACTTTGATGTCATACTGTAGTAGTCTTAGTAGCATTCCTTGGAGGCGTTTCGGAGCTTTACATAGTGGCTTCTTGACAATCACTTCCAGTGGCTTGTGATCTGTGTGCACGATTGTCATACGACCAAACGTGTATTGGTGAAACCTCTCAAGTGAGAATACCATTGCTAAGCACTCCTTCTCGATTTGGGCATATCCACACTCGGTGTCAGAGAGTGCTCGACTGGCATAGGCCAGAGGATGATCGTCTTGAAGCAGGACAGCTCCAAGCCCGGTGCTTGATGCATCACATTGAATGATTAGTTCCTTCKCAGGATCATAATATGACAGTACTGGAGCTGTTGTGACAAGATGCTTGAGTTCAATCATTGCTTTCTCTTGTTCATCAGACCATTCCCATTGTTGACC